TTATTCAACTTATTTGTAGAGAGAATCCATAAAACCCAACGGAAATTCGCTGTCAGCAAACCCTTTGCTTACTGGCAGATCTTTGCACGTTTGTTTAATCTTTATGAGGCCCAAGCTAAGTGCAACTTTTGCTGAGATAAAACTAAATGAATAAATTCAGCTGCAGTGCAAATCTGAGTCTCAGTTCCACTTGAAGATGCTGCGCCTGCTGATCCTGCTGGCCATCGCAGTCCTGGGCTGCCAGGCCGAGTGCAATGTTTGTTCGTCGGCTGCCAATGTGGCCTGTGTATCGGCCACGGAGTATCAAATCTGTTCGGAAGCTCATGTGCCGCTGGGAGCCGTGACGAGTTGTCCCACCAATTACTTCTGCAGTGCAAATGGTACCTTTTGCAGCCCGAACGAGGCATACGGGGCCTGTGTGAGTTGCAACAAGTGCAGCGCGGACAAGAGCTTTGCGTGCATCAGCGCATCGCAGTTCGCCTTGTGCCTGGGCCAGGACACGCCGAGTACATCGATTGTGGGCAACTGCGGCACGAGTTTGGTGTGCAACGTGGAGAATCCCGAAATCTGCGGCAGTTCCAGCGCCTATCCGGCCAGCTGTGGCACCAATTCATCTGGCGGTGGCGGCTCAAGCACGTCCATAACGGATCCAACACTGTACTGCCGCAGCCTGCAGCAGCCCGGACGCTTTCCTTATGGCAGTGATGCCACAACCACCTGCAGGCAGTAAGTATAATCCCTCAATCTTTATTCTGGATCTTACATATGAAATTTATTCTCTAGATATGTTTCCTGCTATACGTTTAAGGGTATTTGGTATGGTGCAATCTACACCTGCGCGGGCTCCACCTACTTTGACAGTACGACAAGGCTGTGCACCACTCAAACGCAGGCCAGATGTGCCTTTGGTGTCACTTCGTTGACTCTCAACGGACGATTGCTGCCGTAAAGGTTTGCCTGTCATTCAACTTTATAATGCACGAAAAAGGCAAACAAAATAAAGGGCAAGAGCCGTATTATCTGTGCCCTAAATCTATTGAATGATAATAAAGCTATACGCTAGAGCAGGGCTTTAAGTTCTTTGTGAGTACTCAACAGATTGCACAGAAATCGGATGAGGATTCCCACAAGTGATTCCCATTCAATTAGGACATGGCCTAATGAACCACATGCAAGTTTAATCGATTTTTCTGTGCCCTTTACACATGCTTCACATCCCATTCACAGCGCTGACCCGGCCCAGGCTCAGGCCACATTGTGGTCTGCGTGTTATGGCATTTATGACGTATACGCCACGTTGCCACTTGCACCTTGAAACTTCTGCTGGCCCCACACAGTGAACAGTTTCACACAGAGAGCTCTCTTTCTCCTCTCTTTCGCTTACAATTATGAAGTGTGCTCGGTAGTTCCTGTTTTTTTCTTTCTTTTCAGCTCAAAACTTTCACAAATTTTTGTTGTATTTTTTGTTGCTACATGCCAGGGAAAATCTTTTGCAGACATTTTGCCCTCATGCTGTGTGCATGTGTGTGTGTGTGTGTGTGTGTGTGTGTGTGTGTGGGTCAGTTACTGGGGCCACATGGGGGCCGCAAAAGTTCCTGGCCCCATAGTTTGGCCGCGGCATGCCACCGAAAAATTCAATTCAATTCCAAGGCTGTGGCCCACCCGCAAAACTTTTCATTCAGTGTTTTCAGTTTTCAGTTTGCAGTTTTCAATTTCAATGGTTTCGATTTCACACGCCCCTAAACCGAACCCCAAACCACAGTTACCCCGCGCCACCGACCCAAACACGCACGGTGCGGCTCCTATACGTGCACAATGTGCAATTGATTGGATAGCATCGGAGGCACAGGAGGCATGCCACACGATGAGGCAGGTGACTTGCATAGTTTGATTTTGATGGACACCATGTGCTGTGGTCCTCCATGGGAATTTTCCTGATTGCTTTTAAGCAACAAAAAATATACTTAAATAACAGCCAAGAAAAAACCGCAAAAATTGAGCTAAAAGTGAGGTAAATTTTATTTTAGGCCTAGCCGCGCCACATACACAAATAAATCTGCAATATGTACACTTTTGTAGCTATCAGATCCAAGAGATAATCTTCGTGTGGGCGAGGGCTCTTCCCCAAACGTTTACGTTTAGATTTATGTTGCTGTTGAAAAAATATATTTAAAAATTATAAAAAGAACAACTAAATTATGGCAGCACTTTGGTAAAATCCAAAAGATTATCAAAAATCAAAAAAAATATATTTTTGTGAAGATTTTGCCAATCTTATTTAAAGGAAACTTGCAGCTAAATGAAGCTCTCTAGAGGAGTAGACCGGGCTGCATATTTGAGGCTCTATGTAATTATGGTTCCACATTCATGTTTACCCATGCTCCATATGCCACAGCCAACTGGGAACAGCCTCTTTCCATCACTCATCTCTCAGAGAGAGAGAGAAGAGTACGAGTTTGTTGTCGTTCTAGGGCCTCTCCTACTCATCAACGTCATCATCGGCAGCATCATCGTCATCATTATCATCCAGTCGGGCGTTGAGTATAATGAGGCTGCACTTAGGACAGATAATTATAATTAATTATCTCTCCCTAATAGAATCCAAGCACAGTCTGTTGCTGATACTCGGTCTGGTCTACCGAGGAAGTCTTACTACTATACTAATTAAATTGCAGGGACGCCACCCCCAGATCCACATCCAGATGTGACCCAAAGCCCAGTGCGTTGAGTGCCAGAGACATAATCTTAAAGTAAAAGTGGTGTGCCGAGTGGCAGCAGAAAGTATCCTTTCACCTGCCATTCCCATTATGTTTGCCAAGCGACGCGCGTTTGCAGTGCAAGTTAGTTTACATCCTCGCTGTGATTTGCCAGCTCTAGCCAGGCAGCGGGAGCCCTGCCTTAATGCCAGACACGTGTTTGCGGGTTGACAACAGAGTTCAGAGACTGCAGGGCATTTGGAGCGTGCTAAGGCCAGTCAAAAGTCTGACATATCATCTCATCTGAGTGTTGAACAGCTTAAAGCGCCGTCCTCAGCATCATCTGCCGGAGATTCTCTGCCCCTGCTGGTGGCTCTCTCCCTCCAACGAGGCCAACTGCAAATAGACTTTAAATAGCAGAGGGGCACCCGCTGTTTACCCTGCACAGACAATCATATCGTGTACAAAACACTACGAGAAATCATTGGGCAGAGATACACCCAGAGAAAAGAACCCCATTTAAGTGCAAGGGGCACCTTGCTTTCTCTCAGTGTATTAGTATTTCTGCATATTACTATATGGGAGGAACTATATTCTCTATTAGAATGTTAGAACCTCCCCCCAACTGTTGTTTGCTGCTGGCTTCCACAGCTTTTAATTAAAGTTCTATTTCCATTTGTTTTTGGTCTGGGGTGGTGGCCAAAACTGCAACCTGGCGCCTGGCCCGGCCATAAGACCCCACAAAGCACACACATAACCCACTCTCAGGCCAGCCCAGGCCCACAGCAAGGGGGCTGCCGCTGTCGCTGCCGCTGCCGCTGCCACCTGCGGTGTGGCCGCCAGCGACTGGAATTAATTTATTTCTCTGCTCAGGCACTTACCGGAGCAGGTTGCCCAAACAATTCCCGATGACCAACAGAGGAGAGAGCGTCGCGCATTATTTTGTTTATCCATTCATTTCGGGCTAATTGCCTATACTGCCAAAAGCAGTACGAGGTCCGAGGCTCTGCTGTTTATTTTGCCTTCAATACGGAATTAACTTTATAAATATATAAACAGGAACGAGTGGTATATGTTTACTTGTTCTATTGCGTTAGTGCAAATGGTTCCATTATTGGATACGCAACATCTTTTAGTACCGTCTTTACATTTATTCCGATTTTGCTTATGAATTTTAAATATGCAAAAATTGTGCATCAAGTTCAAAGCTCAAAGCACCGTTTAAACAGCTACCAAAAAAGAAAAACAGGCAAACTTTTACCATCCCATCGAGAGCGTGACATGCAATTATAAATATGCTCGGAATTTGCAAAAACCGCTCGATGTGTAATCCAAGCCCACCCGCAAACACGTGAAGAGCGGAAAAACAGCAACTGCACAACGACGACAAAGAAATATAAAACAGGATCCAACCCACACGCACACACACAGGTTGACAGTTCAAGTACATGGGAGATTGTCGAACAATTTTGACACAGCCATGCGATGAGGTCAATGCGGTACATACACATGTATATGTAAACGTATATGTAAATATGTATGTTCAACCATTATTATATAATGGTGCATTGTTAGGGGAGCCACGAGAATGCAGCAGGGCAGGAAGAGGCCATGGCATGTGCAGGCGTTTGCAAGGAAGAACGGAAAGCTCGTTGAAAAGCCAGAGACACTGTGGGGCTGTGAGGATGCCTGCATAATGAAGCGCCGTGGCAAATGCGTCACATGCCAAGAGGTGTACATGGAATGTGCAGCAAGCAGCAGCAGGCAAAAGAACTGTCAACGCTGCCGCCTGTCACACACATCAGGCCGTATGATGCGCACATTCCCTGCTGCTGCCCTTCCTTGACCTGTATGACCTGACCTAAGAGCCGAGCTGACAACCCAAAACGCAACCACACTTGCCAGCTTACAGCTTTTCCTGATAAATTTACGTGTAACGGGGTTGGGCACTCATAAATAATAAATAATGCACACACAACCAGCGTTTGGCTCTTGATTGAAATGTTCTTTAATTTGCTGTTAAATTTCCATAATGAAATAAAGCACAAAAAGAAGTGCGACAGATAAGCAAATGTGTCTGTGAATGTTTAAGCACCGCACACCGCGCACCGCGCACCGCACATATTAATCGGCTTTAAAATTGTTTGTCAATTTGGGTTTAATGGATTTGAACAGCTTTAAGCTGCGGCTGCTGATCCAATTAGTGTTTCATAAATGGATTCACCTCAAATAGGGCTCAATCTGGCCACTGTTTAGTGCAAACTTAAGCCGTCTTTGGTACCATTTTTTCTTACATTTAAATAAGTTAAATTGTTATTATTGGTTGATTCTTTTATATGTTGACATCGATAACGCGTTGCTGTGAGAAATGGACAGTCTTGTCGCCGTTTGCAACAATCCCAATGATCCAGGAGCGAGCACTGGGTCCTTCCATTGTGATGATCTCCTTGCAGAACTCGATGGCCGCCTCGCGGTCCATGCAGATAAGCAAACCTCCGGAATGCTCGGGGCAACGCCCACGCATCAGCTGGAAGCCGTCACCGCATTGGGTAGCCACCGATGCCATTCGGTTGATCACCGGCATATTGCAGATGGATAATGCCACATCATTCTGCTGGCAAGCGGCCAGAGTTTCGGCATGGCCCAGTAGACCGTGTTCAGCTATGGCGATGGCCCCATGTGCCTCATATTTATGCATCAGTTGGGCTGTGATGCGATTGAGGCGACACATTGATTTCACAGCCATGCTGTGGGCCTTACCGACTTCCTCCTCGCTGAAAGAGTGCTTCAGGAACTTCCATTTATCGCCATTAGCCGTCATCCACTTGTGCAGATTAAGGGCCACGTGTGTGCCCAGAGGCTTGGTCAACAGCAGGACATCGCCCGGTACAGCCTTGTTCGGCTGAATGATCTCGATCTCCTTGCAGACGGACGTAGCCACGCCGCCAACGATGCACCAGCGATTGACCACGCTCTGGCCGCCAGTAACATTGACACCTGCCTTCATGGCGCAGTCCTTGAAGCCACGCATCATTATCGGCAGTATGGTGTCGCGTTCCTTCTCCGTCATGTGTGTGCTCACGGCCAGCAGCATCAGCATATTGTCACAGGCCACAACGCCCTTGGCGTATACATCCCCGAGCACATTGGCGCACGCTATCTTGCCCATCAAGTACGGATTGTCGATGATCGGGTAGCCAAAGTCGGTGGTTTGCACCAGTTGCAGGTCGCCAAACAGGGTCGTTGACTTCGTAAAAACCGAGCCACGCTCGCTGATGTCCAGTGCTTTCTTTGGCTGCTGCGGCTGCGAGTCCGGCTCCGGCTCTGGCTCTGGCTCTCCGCGTGGTGGTTTGGCCGACATCAGCTTCGAGACCACGTCTTTAGGCATCTTCTTGGTGCGCTCGCTCAGATTGGCAAAACGTGTTAGACGAAAGTTAGCATCCAGGTCGTGGTCGCGGGGGTCAAACGGGAGCATCAGAATGCCATCAAAGTCGCATTCAACCTCTGAATTATCAGTCATTTCAATGAGTTTTGCAGTTTAAACTATTAAGGAAAATTCAGAAATAATTTTAAAGTGCTTTGATTTTAGGGAAAATTCACAACAAATTGAAAAGTGCTTGAAAAGTGGAAACGTCAGAAAAAAAACTTGCCAAGCAGGGTTGCATTTGTTTATTGTGAATAGGCAACTCCAATGGTGGTCCAGTTAGAATTTAAGCGTGTCCAATTGGACACCGTCGGGTTACAGGTTTGCATTTCTTAAGCTAATTGCTTTGGTCTGTTCGATAACTGGTTGCTATCGATATTTGTGCTGGTAAGGTTGGCAACGTATTTGGTAGCCAAATTAAATATAACACTTAATTAAATTCAATTAAATATGCAAGCTCAGCTCTTGTATTACCTATTTTAAGCCAAAGTTTAAATTCATTTAATTATTGATTGTTAGGGTTGCCAGATCGATGTGGGCGGTACTGCAATGTAAACCTTTCCCAGCTTCCGCCTTGTTTGAAAGGTTTCATTTAGAACTCTTAGAAAGAGTGCAAATTGTATTTTTAAATGCCAACCTAATGCATGTGTTTAGTGCATCCCGCTTTACACAGTTTTGTCTGTCTGCACTGCATTTAATTTCCTGCCACAGCTGCCACGTGTGTTTGCGTGAATAGGGATCTAATAAACTCTGCTCTGTGGCGAAAGTGTACTCTGATTAACAACTGCAACCGAATGCAGGTCAGTGTTTAATTATTCAAGTCCATTAGTTTTTAATGATTTCAATTCGTTTTTTAATGCACATTTTATTGGTTTTGTTTTTGCGTGTGCCGATTCTCAGAAGTTACAAATGCATATTCATGTGCATTTATTTTTCTTTGGTGTGTATGAGTGAACAGTGCTCTGTGGGAGATGCGAGAGTGGAATGGCCCAACATTTTGCATTCATTACATTCTGCAGCAATTAAAAACAAATCGTGGCGATGGGACTAGTTTAAAAATTAAGTTAAAGAGCATTAAAGGAGAATGAAAAGCTAAGTTTAATGCACTATAAATGTTTTTTTATGGTTTTTATTTATGTAATTTATATTTTCAGTGGCTCAAAGGTCCCACATTTATAGGCCAGTCTTTGGTAAAAACTATGCTCAATATCTACTTAAACTAGTATAGAGCTTAGATTCTCATCATTCTGGTTATTTTTTTTACAGATTTGCCATGAGAGTTTTAATGAGACTTGATTGGTAGTCGCCATGCAAATGACTTCCATTTGCCATTTATTCACAGAAGTTGGCTCCAACGACCGAGTATCTCCAGCAGTTTGTACCAGTCAAAGCTCAACGACAGATGCACATTAATAACCGTTTGAAGAATGCGGAAGAAATGTGGGATGAGACAGAGAGAGCAGCAGCAGTGGGGCGTGAGTTGTGATGTCCCGTTCATGGGTGGCAAAGTGGTCGCTAATTGCCGCTGCTTCTGCCTGACTGCCACAATGGGAGTCGCTGCAAATGGTATGGCAAAAATACCCACCCATTGATTGACATGTGCAAATTGTAAGTAAATTATTTCATAAAAGTCAAACATTGTGACGGCTGCTATCGAAACGAGCACTTATCCGATATATACACACCGCCTTATCAATTGGGTTGTCTGCGATTGGTGCTGGGGCTGATGCCCACATATAGCCAAATCTGTGGCAGCCACGTGGGTCGCCTGCCGCGCCCCTTCATCGCCCCCTATATAAATTCTGTTCGTGTGTGGATTTCAGTTTGATAAATCATGTGGCAATAGACCGCAGACGCAGTCGCAGCCGCAGTCGCAGTTGCAGCCGATTGTGTGGGCAGTGTCCACTCTGGTCAGTGCAATAATTTTTCCAGTTGCAGTTTTTTATGCACGGTAGACGTGTAAGGCACAAGGGTGTATAGGGATTTAAAGGAGATATGTCCTGCTGTATATAAAAATAGATAAATTATTCAATTTGTAGCTCATTTACTTGGCTTCCCATTACAAAAGGATCTTCCTCAGCCTCGGTACCGCAATTGCACATAATTCTTCTTCCCATCGTTAGCTCTTACATAAAAAGAGGTATCTGATGGTCCAGATATTTTGCTCTATTGCACAACTGTCACGGAAGGGAAGCCAGTTGACAAGTGGGTGGAGTGCTCTGTGGTGTGGCGTGGCGTGGTTTGGCATGGGTCACTCTGTCAGCAAATAGAGCCATTAAGTGGCCTGTGAGAGCGGGCTACTTTCGCTGCTCCCAGTCCGAAGGGAGTGCCTGCCTCCGCCTCACGATACTTTCATTAGGCAAATAGCTGGGACTCGGTCTCGGACTCGGACTCGGACTCACTCAGACACACTCGAGAGGAGACGGACCGGCAATGGCAATTGGCTGGCACTGGCAGATAGTTTTCGTCTATGCATGTGCCCAGTGGGTCACTCAGTTACCCAGTCAACAGGCACTCCAACGGACCCCACTCCATTCAATCCGGTCTGGTCCAGTCCAGTTGCCTCCTCCGTCCGGGCTCCGGGCTCATATTTAATTTTATGCTGCGCTAGTAGGAAATCCATTTAAAGTGCCACTAATTGCAATTTGCTGTGAAAAATTGCAATGCAATGAGAGTAAATTGCATTAAAAACGCAAACAAATATACAATTTTCACCCAATTTTTGATCAGATCTGTCATCAGGCAATTGTGTGTGCGTTTTTTCACAAACGGTCAATCAGAAGCTCTCAAAAATACGCGTTTGCACGGGAGTAATCAATGCAAATGGCCAAGCCCATTCGCATTTCCACTGCCATTATTCTCCCATACCCCATTCCCCATTCCCCCATTTCCCAGTTTTGCTGCAGTTCATCAATCGACTGGTTGTCGCCATGGCATTTGCCGGTGGCGCCTCGTTTAATGACTGCACCTCTTCCCATCATCTACGGGCTTCGATTATGGGGTATACTGGTTGCAGGTCAATATTTGAACAGACATTTTATTACTGTGAAAGTAAACAAACTTTTGGTGAGGAAAAAGTAATTAAAAATAAATATCGTGGGTTTTTTTTAAGCCTTTTTCTATTAAAAATGTTGTCTGTTGTGGCAATAATTCTGCATAAATATTGATCTTGCCCTCAGCTGCAGCATAAATCCATGGGGAATCTCACATTTGTATCGCTGATTTCCTACCACAAAAAGAGGTACCACATGCATGTTTCTTTCATGTTTAATTCAGACCCACTCCCATCATGTGTCGCATCCAATTGTTGTACCTATCAATGGCTATGCTATGCATAACGTGAGGCAATTAAGCACAATTCGCGACGAGAATGATCTGGCCAGGCCATAAATTAAGTATTTATCTAAGTTTTTGCAACCTCTCTCTCCCACTTGTCCCTGAATCATTTATCACTTTGTCTATTTCTGACTACCCGCTGGGAATGTCATCGTTGCAGTTGCACTGCACCGGCGATGCTCTCTGTTGATGCATCAGGGGAGGTTGCATCATGACAACACCGACGTCATGGCCTGGCCTGGCCTGGCTTGGCCTGCATTGGGAATCCTCGGGGCGGGAATGACGCAACTGCAGTTACTGGCGCCAGTGGCGGCTGCCCAAGGTTGTTGCAGCAGCAGCAGCAACTGCCATTTGGTCACCATTTGAGGACGCGCTTTCCCTCTCTATCTTTCCATCTCTATGTCGCTATGTTGCTCTGGCAGAGGTGACCTTGCCCCAAAGCCTTGCGTCAACAGTGTGCAGAGAGTGCCAGCTATCGATTGAAATGGCTGCGTAATAAATGTTTCAGTGTGGCTTAAACAGGATTTGTTTTGCTGGCTATCAAAGGAACATCAAGGTTGTACGTTAGTTGAATCATTGCCAGGACAAAGGCGAACTAGTATGCACCCACTTTGGTGTCCATTCCATATTCCATGTACATCCAATCAATTTTCGGTAATTTGGTGATTCATTTCCACGCAAGTGAGGTCCTGGAAGTGCATGCCACGACCTCCTCCCGTTCAACTGTAATTTCGTGGTTATTTAGTCACTCGCTCGGGATGAGCATTTGCGGTCAGGATAAGGCCTCTGGATGCAGTCACTCCGTCAGTCAGTCGTCAACCCTTTTATGGCATTTGCGTTTTGATTATGTTGTTGCTCTTTGATGTGTTGCAATGCCGCACCATTGTTTCGGTTAATTAAAATTTGTGGTTGCCCTTTGTCTGTCTGTCTGTCTCTCTTCCAGAGTGTCTGTACATGTGTGTGTTTGTGTCTGTAAATTAGTGAGAAGTGGAGAATGCATGTTGCACAGTTCGAATTGAGTTCGGTTTTGCAGTTTGGTTATCTCTCGCTCTCTCTCTCTCTCGCTGTTTGCCTTAAATATTTAATATGCAGAGAGCTCTCTGAAGCGAACGGCATGAAATTGCCGCACTTGAAGCTTAGTCTGAGTAGAACTGGGCCTGCGACAGCGACTCCGACTGCGACTGGCAAAGAAGTTATCTGCATTCCAACAGAACCAGTTTACCTTCCTCATCCTCATCCGCCTCTGCTGGTTTCTGGCTTTGGGCTGTGGTGATTCATGCCACCATCCACCATCCACCAGACTCGGCAGCGTCCGCCTTTTGGGCCTTCGTTCGTTCTCCTTTGTTTCGACTCTGGCTCTGGCCTCGCATTTAGTTCGTTCTCAGCCGAGAGGGTCGATTTTTGTCGCGAATTTCTTCTCTGGTGTTTCCCACGCCAAGCACACACAAAATGCGCTTTACATAAGGTTCTGCTTGGTTCTTCTCTTTCCTTTGGTATCTTTTCTTGTGCTTGCTCTTTGGCCAAAACATTCCTGTGGCAAACGGGGCGTATGCGTAATCAGGCAACAGTCGTTAGCCAGTCGTTTGGGCCACCCCGGGAAAACTTTTCACATTTTCCAGCCACGCATGCCAATCTTTTTATGACAAACTTCACTCTGCCATCAGCTTTCAGCACCCAGAACCCAGCACCCCTGCCCCTGCTCTGACCCCTTCGTCAGTCCTCAGCCTCATCCTCATCCTCCGCGTAGTACGCAAAAATCTTGTTAAGCTCTAAGCCATGGCCAACT